CACATTATGTTTGCACTTTGGAGGTTTGTAGTACCGACGGTGGGAGGAGTCAGAAGTGTGGGCGGAGTTTGCCGTTTTCCGATGACGTGATCCTTTAACTTTAGTCTTGACAAAAAAGTAAGCACCGGTGGTTTGAAAAGCTAAATTAATTTCTTTTCAACCCAGTGAATTTTATCGTTTATAATTTTTTTCATTTTTCACAGTAAGGATCGGACCAATATTTGAGCAAATGTTTTACTTCAGAATTTGTTTAACCACATGTATATAATAGTCCCTCTGTAAAGATTCATGCATAAGATTCTTCACAAAAGAACGCTTGTGGGTTTGCAGTAAATCCTTTATCTGAGGAATGTACTGAACAATTACGCTTATCTTATTCAGCTTGATGAATGTGCAGAGTGCGACGCTTCGAGCCTAACCTTTTTTCAGCTCTAAAAAACTTAAATTGCTTGTTTCTGCCATCTGCGTTCAGGTCTAAAATAAAATTAGCGAGCCTGTAGGCTGGAGCAGTACAAATAAAATGACATTTTCTCATTTACAAGACTCAGGATGGCATCATGAAAAGGTTGGATGGAAAAAAAATTTCTTCCTTGTTATCTGCATAAAAAGAGGAAAGTCACGTCACTGCAACTGAGTGAGATTTTCGTTACTGCAGAAAAATTCAGCTCAAGAAGAATCTTCTGATAAATTGTATTATCATAGTATTTTGGAGTACGGTGGATATATGGCGAAACACAAATTGCCAAAACGCACAAAAATACAACTATAATATTAGGTCATTCGGAAAGTTTTTTCGTTTTCGCACCTTTAAATTCAAACGAGCACAACTTTTTCCAGATCCCATCTTTTTCTTCCAAATAAATTTCATTGTGTTCAGCAGAATTCTGGTAACATTATTTTAGTGTTCATGTGCTTTTTTCTTGCGAAATCATCTTAAGGGAATCAATAAAACCTAAAAAGGCATTTTTGACAAGCTAATTTTTACTGGGTCCTATTATTTTCAATAGGCACGAGGAGTTGGAGAATTTGATGGCTGGTAGGGGAAGGTCCATAGAGTTCAAAAAATGAACAGGAATCTCGGTGCGCAGTCAACCCCTTTTGTGAGGGCTACTTTTCTTACATGTGGTTTGACGGCGTAGGGGCGAGGATGGCACCTCTCATAGATTATACGTGCAAGTCTGCTTAGTCTCAAATTTTTGACAAACGGTTTTTAGAGCGGTATCATACTACTCTGCTCTTACACCACAACCACATCTTAGCAAATTTATAGCGTGCAAGACTACAGGATTACTTAAATTGAGTACATCAACCTTTTGTAATGACTTACTGTTCATGGCCATGCTTGCAATGCTTATTCCAAATGATTTACCACACTGACCACATTGTTGCTTCTTTTAGCTGTACTTGGCCAATTTTTTGTTGTAATTATCAATTCAGGCCAAAAAAGAATTGCTCCGTCAAATTATGAGAAACGAAAACAGAGTCAACGCGCCCTCAATCTGCGAGTGCGACAATTTGTGAGGTGTGTGCCACTAATATTTTTTGGTATTGCAGCTTTAGCGATGGTGGCTTCAAATGGGGCTATACGACACTACAAGGTCTGTTCATAGTTTTATGCAGCTATATTTGCGATTTGCTCTAAAGGACCCTTTGAGATGCTCGTTTATATGGCAGGAACACCTTCCAAAACAGTGCAGAACATTAGCTTTCACTTCTATAGATCTGGGCTTTTTGAGGCAGACTTCAACCAACGTCAAGAAATATGTGGCCTTAGCAAATGCATTGCGCACAATGATGGTTTCTTTGACTGCCTTACACTCAATACTGACCTTAAAGAATGCAATTATTCGAAAATTGCGTTTTCATATGTCGAATTTACAGCCACGTAAACCTCCCTACAAAGCGTTTTCTGCAACTTTGGTAAGATCCTCAGAAACTAGAAGACTTCCTCTACAATTTTATGTATAGCAACCCCTATCAGCTCTCTGGGACTCTCTTAAAACATGACACCAACATCAAAGGCGCAAAAGCGAGAAAACTTTCCGAATGACCTCATATTACTGAGTTTGCTAGCCGTAATCTGATGCTCTGGTGGACTACGCTAACGCAACAGAAGATACATCTTGAGCATTTTTGTGAAAATTCGAAAAATAATCACAGTAAAAAACATCGCTAGTTTCGCAAAGATGGGGGGAGGAGTCATTTTGAGATACTTTGCAGAGTATTTTTAATAAAGATTTATTGGCTACACACTCTTGGTCTATGAAAATTTGTTTTTATAACTAACTTCACGACATTGTGCTCACTTAAAAGTGATTCATCGCACGCAGAGACAGGATGCCGCTGCAGACGCCGTCGGTGTCTCTCTGTTCAGGCGTATTTTCATCCCTCTTTCTATCTGCTTTCTCTGCCAAACACAAACTATCTAGATTGGACGCAACGCGCCAGTCTCTGCGACTGACTCAAAGTTTTTTTTTGCATCTCTTGTCTGTTCTTTGCGATATTGCTCAACAAGGAACGAAAATATTCAGCTCTTTTTCTAAACAGATCAATATTTTATAAACATCAGTAATGTCTGTGGAAAGTTCATGTTTTCAAAGCATTAATCGGTCAAAATTAAATACATCAATCCTTTCCTCAAAAAACTGATTTTGGTCCCTCAAACGTCTTCACTGAATATAAGTTTTGTATTTCTTTCTTACATGATGTTGTTAAGATTCCGTCAAGCAGAGGGGTACAAGAAATGAGTCAACAGACTAACTAAATATGTGCATTTTAATCTTGACCCAGCGCTTTCATTCCTTGAAAAACCCTTTGTAGATTCTTTTCTCAGGGAGATGGCCATCGTAAATGGCACGAAGTCGGAAATGGTCTTGTCCTTGAATTGCTGATGGCGACGAGTTTCCGGAAAACCATGAAATATCCGCAAAGGTTCAAAAATCAAATGATGGCAATTTTTGCGGGGGTAGCGAAAGCCATTCGTAACAATCTTAAATGAATGGGAAAATCTTGCAACTTTTGTTGCGTCTTATAAAAAAAGTGAAATAAGTTTTGTGCCATAGGTAATGAATACGTGAGCAAAACCATTTCTTTCTCAATAACCAAAGTACCCTAAACCGTTTTCAGAGCAATGCTTAATCTGTAGTTTCAATCGAAATTCGTCAGAAGAGAAAAGTGTCGCGCAATAACAAATATAATTTTTTTCTGTTAAGCTTCATAATTTTGTCCTATGCGATGTGTATTAGATATACTCAAGATATCTAGAATATTTAAAATTGAGCGATCTAATTCAGGTGATGGATTTTATGGACTCAACCATAATTTTCCCTTTTAACTTTTTCCTTCAAAATTTTTTAGAGCTATGCATGGCATGTAGACGAATTTTTTGGTGTATACCAGCATATCCCGGGCAGATTTATCTCAAAATATCTCGTCGGAGCTGTAATTCTAGATATTTTCCAAGGACATTTTAGCATGTAGGTAAAAGCAAACAAAAGGGCAAAGAAGTAATTTGATGAGATTTTGCAAGTATTTCTGTCCTTCATTGTCATGATGTGTTGCGCATTACTTATAATGGTGATTTTTTAGACATAAATGTTTCAAGCAAGATGGGTGTTAGAACCTGAGAACATGTGAGAAATGAACGGATTTGAAACTTGCCCAGACTTCACGCATTATATGTATAACTATACAAGATAAGGCTGGAAGTATAGAGTCGAAAAATATGGGTTCAATTTGATGATTAATCAAAAATATGGAATTAAATACATGGGTGATATAAGTGAATTATCGATTGAACGATTTGTTATATGACGCAGAAGTTTAGATATGGAAAGCTCGTTTTAGAATGAGGAAAAAACAAAAAACCACCTTTAAAACAGCGTAAGCGTAAATGACTGAGATAGCATGAATAATTGAATGTTAACGAATGAATGAATAACGGAAAAAATTAAGAAAAGAATAGTTATAGGTATCAGCGACGAAAAGTCCACACTACACCGTTGCATGTGTTCGATTCCGTAAGTGTCTCCCCGTTGTCTCTTTCAAGTGGACCGCGGTAGATCACTCGATCACGATCGGCTGGTCAAACTGTTCAGCAGTGATCTTTAGACTTCCTTTGTTTCAGAAATAATGAATTTGCAATCCAAAAAAATTACGAAAAAAATTGTGTGCAAATCTTGCAAAGTTTCATTTCCTTTCTTTTTTGATAACGACTTGAGAATTTTATATAACAAATAATAACATAATCTCAAAGAGAATATAAAAAATTGCGAATAAATATGGAAGTTACTGAGTTGGCTTTTCATTTTCTAACCCCTTCCCCCCCCCCCCCTCCTTCCCCCGCCTTCATTTTTTTCTTTTTGTCCATGCACCATGTGAATTTCTAAATAGATGAAGATGATATGCACAACTTTTTCAGCTTTAGCTTCTAATCTTCGTTAACTCAGATCAATTTATTCAAAATTACAGTTGCCTCATATACCAGATTGTTTTTGAGAAATGAAATAAAATCTGAAAATTGGTTGTTAAAAAATTACTGAAAAATTGCTTAAAAACTAACTCAAATGAGGAAGTCTCGCTGAGATTATTGAATTGAAGAAAATATTCCCGAACGCTTGGGCCTTTGATGGCCCACGTCGTCGTATCTCAAGTGCCGCGGGCCACCTTTGGCCCATGTCTTCGTCAATGATCCTCATAATCTTTATCTCATCCAGTCAAAACTGTAAAATCTGTGAAGTGACGCATGTGTATAGAAATTAAATCGAATCTTTGAAAAACCTTCAGTAATGTCTTGTTCGAATTTGTCTCGGTTTTTTATGGGATAAAAAACCTTCTATTGCATCTGCTACCCCTTTTATCCATTTCTTTGAGATAAACCCATGTGTGTCAGTCCAGTCTAAAAAAGCACTTTCTCAGACGTAAGCGATGACATCAACTCTAGACTCCGCCCATCACTACCTGTAAACTTCTCATTTCTCACAACAAATTGTTTATGCAAACGCGTGACATATACGTGAAAATAAATCACTTTAATTATGTTGATTTTTCTCGGGTATAACCATAATTGTATAAAAGATGGGCGATGGGAAAAGATGAGATGTGCAGAGACGCAGAGGAACTGAATGTATGGAAAACTACGACAACTAATGCATTTGTTCACCGGCAAAAGTAGTGGATTAACATATATGGCACTATAGCACGTAAATAAACAAGCGAGATTGCGAATAGAGATATAGAGGTGGAAACAATGTTAGAAAAGAGCTCTCGAGATCTTTCGGCGATGGTGTGTGGAAGATGGATATCGATTGATAGTTTGCCTCGTTCTATATGTTACTTTATTTGCCGGCCCATGCGTAGAATTGTTTTCGTTTCACGAATTCTGGTACACCAGTGCGTTTACCAGCCCAGGCATAGAATCTGAAATGATGTTAAAAAATAGGAAATAACTTTCGAAGAAAAGAACAAATTTCAAAAAAAATCATTTTTTATTTCATGTTTTTCTCATTTTTCGCTTCTTTCTCAAAAAACACATTTCTTGCAAAAGTCTGAGACAGATTTGTATACCATTACTATAGTCATTCTTGGGAGGGGGGGGGAGAGAGAGAAGACTTATTTTTCCCACTGAAAAAAGGTGTTGAAGTTGTATTGAAAATTCAATTCGGCTTTGCGAAACAAATTTTCAAGGGCAAATTACGGGGCTATAGGCTCGCAAAAAAGTAGGTTGCCTCTCAAACATTTTTGAGAGGGTTTGAAACTATAATCTGTCTTTCCCCTCCCCCCTTCCCCCTCGCGTCCAACGAAATTTTTGGGACCGCACTGTAAATACCACATCATTATGAAAATAGCGAACAAATATGGTAATAATAGCAAATAAAAAAAAGTTTCAAATTCTAGAACGCTAAGACAGAAAGTTAGCTTTTATTTTTCTATTTTCAAATTCCCGCATTTACCCATTTATCCATTTCATATTGATCCGCGTTCATTCTCTACCAATCCTATCCATATGGATAAACTCTCTGCCCGTACCGTACTCAAGAACGCTTATTACCTCTTTGCGAAAGGAGTACGGTCTGGGGGAGATTCCGAATAAAAATTTTCGGTTTCGTATGCACCCTATACTCAGACAATCCACCGGAAGTTCCGCGGGACATAAAATAGCGAACAGCGATTCCGCAAGATATTTTTGCTGTCATAAAGTTCAAGCGTCAAATCAAGAACTTCCGCAGGAATTTGACTCTAGACTTGAAAACGAAACTTCCGCAGCGCTTCCCACTAAGGGCAGCGGGAGATACCCTCTCTGTATGTCCAGTGGAATTTCCGGTCCATATTACGGTAAGAAAATCCTAGACTGGTTTTTTAGTTTATTCCATGCCGTAAAATTTTGCTCTCGTAAGCGTATTGCCCAAGAGATAAGCCCTAATTCAGCTTTGAAGAGGTTTCCGATGTAATCTGCATAAATCCATCCATAAGTTCTTCAGGTGCATGACATATTGTAAGCACTTTTCTCTTTTTTTTATTGGTCTAATCGGCTTATATGCTCTGCTATTCTTCCCCATCAAGCCCTTATCACAGTTAAGTTCCATGCAAGACAGAATTTTCGAAGAAATCAAAGCAAAGGTGCGTGGTTACATTTTAAAGGATTTTTCATGCGAAATAAATTAGTGTGCCGTATTTTTGAGAAAACATGCAAATTATAGCTTTTAGTGCTTATATTTGAAATCGCAGCAATCTTCAATGCGCTATAACTTTGTTGCAAAAAATTTCAAAAATTAAGTTTTCAAACGAGCTGAGAAAGAGGCAATCCGAATTATATTTTTGATATAAAAATTTTTAGTGGAAAGTAATAACTGTGATTTTTTAAGCATAAAAAGTGGATGTGGAACCAAGATCACTAAAGAGAGGACTGCCCAATATCGATTTCAAACTTCTTCGCCTTCAGAACGTTTGCAAAATGAATTTTTAAGCCTAAAAAATTCAAGATTTGATTGTGCTAATTTTCCGATTTTACAGGATTTTGTAAGTCCCAACTTAGCCATTCTCATGTCTACAACATAAGATTTTATGAGATTTTAACGGTTTACTAAGCTATGTTCAACCTAACATAAACTTTTCTTCACATTTGCGTATAGAGAGAACGAAATACTAGAAAAATTTGACTCGTTTGGATTTTCCTGGCAACGTGCCAACGCAAAACTTTTCCTATAAATCTACACATAAAAGAAGCTGCAGGATGCAAAATTCGCATAAGGCCAACTCATTTGAGTTAAATCACATTAGCATTTTAGGATTTGATGTGAGCTTGGAGACCTGTGGAACCAAATTTATATCATGCATCTGGAAAGCATTAAGCTTTCACTTTCAAAAAAAGCACCAGACCTGAACAAACAAATTTATAACAGCCTAGTCTAGGCTTTTTACCAGAAAGCAAAGGTGCTGCAGCTAATTTGAAGAGCAGATCCAATTTTTTCACAACCCATAAAACCCAAAAATGAAACTGCGTTTATTTGGATGGTAAAATGAAAAAATGAGTGAGCATTCATATTTCAACAATTATTCATCTTGTGATCTGAAAAGCACACTACCTATTTTCTTCGCTAATCTTCAGAAAAAAAAACTTACGATTCTCATATCCTGTCTGCTTCAATCCCCCTGCTACAAACATTCAAGTTGTACTTCAAATATCGAAACTCTGGCAGAAATTTCCATCTAACGATTTCAATGCAAAAAGAATGAGCGAGAAGACAAATGAACTGAACAAGAGCTAATGAAAGAGGAAAAATGGATCTACAGCTATAAGAATACTTCCGCCTTCTTTAAAAAAACGTTCTCTTAAGAGATGCGTAAATCTTTTGAATCTCATCACTCGTTTAACGATGCGATAATTTGATCAGTCTTGCATCAGAATTTCCATGGAACATGAAAAAAATTCTCTCGGTTCAAATCGTTCTAGAGAAGTTATGCTGACTTGTCATTTTTTGATTCTGCTCAAATCTTCTCCCCCTCCCCCCCCCCCTTTCCTTCCCCTCTCTCAAAAAACTCACTGTTTCCTCTTCGTAACAAGTCCCTGTGAAGGAAATAGAGGATAGTCGCCGAGTCTGTCTCCATCATTGAAATATCGGCTTATCTGAAAAAAAAAATCAATAAATTACTTGGTGATCCCAATAGTTGACCCCAGTATTGATTCCTAATAGTTGACCCCAGCATTGATAGTTAAAGTTGTATTTCTTCCGATTATGCATGTTTGCAACATGTGTCCGAGTTTAGTCTACAAGGTAAGAGTCCAGAGAAGAAGAGTCGGCCTAAAAGTCTCCGTCTTCTTACAGCAATGATTGCGCTCTCGAGCTGTGATGAACACATTTTATAAAGTCAATAAATAATTCAGCTGTTCAGATAGTTAACTCATGATAGTTAAAAATTATATTTTTCCCGACTATACTCGTTTCAGTATATATCCGAGTTCCTCTACAGGGCCAGAGACCAGAGAAGAAAAGTCGGCCTAAGAGTCTGCATCTTTTTCCACAACAATCATTGCAATTTTAAGTTAATGAACATATTTTATGTATTGCCGTATAGTTTCTTACAAACTACGATGATTTCTAGTAAGTGTGACTTTCAATCAACTGCGCTTTTCTTTCCCCCCCCCACCACTCCATCTCCCAAAACGCCCCTACAGTATCGGCTTCGCGCCTCATCTCGCAGTCTCAAACACAACCCTAATAGATTAATGCCGTGTCTGGGTCGTATTCACGGACCAGTGCATTGCGCGATAATATTCGATTACACGAATTGCTTTATGAATTATTCATCGGAGAGTTGTGTGTAAGCAGAGCAACAGATAGTACTCCCCACTGGATCAGTCTGACAGCTGAGTTTTTTTGGGCAAAAAAGAGTTAAAGGGAGAAAAGAGGGAGAGAAAGGCTAAGCAACTTTAGTCCCCATTTGATGACTGAAAACACACAGTTTTCCCCTTCTCCCCCTCTCCCCGCCCCGATATGGTTCCAAATAAAATGTTGTGGACATTGTTTTGTACATTACATGATATTATATTTTGCAATTTCGGGTTGAAGATATTTATCAATACTGGTGCACTGTAAGTGGGATCAATGCTCTCTTACATATAGCGTCACGCAGATACGGTAAGTATACTGTATCACCTACTAAGATAACTTCTCTTCGGACTTCCTTGACTTTAACAAGTACAATAAAGCAGCATGAAAGGCGAGCTGGGACTACTAACCTATACCGGTGTGTGTACTGTAGAGTCTGGAATGCATGCGATATTCGCAAATAACTATCCACACACTGACACATACAGGGTGTCCCAAAAAAATGTGAACACTGTTTGATCGTTAGTAACTTCCTTGCTTTCAAGCTTTTCGTCGAGCTTGAGGCACCGTTTTATAGAGCAAGGTTCAACTTAGACATACAGTACGGAACGAATCATCGATCGCTTTTCAATACTGTAGGATTACGGTAGCAATTTTGACAAGGATTTTAGGCCATTGAAGGCCATATTCTGCTTCGAAACAAGATCAAACAGGCCAAAAACTCTTGTACTATGGTAATGGAAGCCGCTGATTGCGAATATAAAATTTCCACTCTACTGTGATGCTTTTTCCCAAGGTTATCCCAGGTAAATCGTAGTAACTGACTTCCCAGCATTTATCAAGAATGTGATTACACCGTCAAAAAAGCTAAGAACACTCATAATAAGTTGTGCAGTGGAATCAGCGTGCGCAAAAACCCTAGTACACGATTCTTCAGATTTTTTGGGAAAAATTTCATGGAATGGCATATTTCACAATGGGTCCACATGCTAGAAGTTCTTATCCGTAATCCTACAGTAACGAAGAGTGATCGTGATCTGCTCCATATTATAAATCTAAGTTGAACCTCGCTCTACAGAATGGTGCCTCAAGCTTGGCGAAAGACATGAAACCAAGGGAGTTATTAACGATCAAACAGTGTTCACATTTTTTTGGGACACCCTGTATATGTTAGGCTCAACCATTTATGTTCAAAAAGCACTGTAGTTTACGAAAATTTACTAGAAAAAATTCACAAAAATACTTTTAAAGTTCAACTTGAAACTGTAAACCATATGCAAACGCCTTACAAGCATAATAATGAGTAAACATGGCTTTATCATGATTTTTCTAGGGTAGTTTACTGTAGGAATACGGTGACTATACCGTTGCTCTGCTTATAGTCTGTTGGGGCTTGTGTAGATCATCAATAAATACACCACCACTGCGAATCCAAAATTCAATGGCTATCACCGAGATTTGGAAAAAAATAAGCTTTTTGTTTAGCTGTACATTATCCAATGGCGCCCGTAACTTTGCGGTAGATTTTTGCAGAAATTTCCCATCGTATTTAACTCAGAAAGCCGCCGAGGATAACTTTACCAGAATGAGATTCAGGTATCCGAGAGGAAATATACTCAGACCATATTAACAGAATAGAACTTCAGAAACCTTCGTATGGGTCGTTATGCATTCATCGCTACAAAAAAAAGATGCGCTCCATACTTGTAAAGCCGGGTCCAGAGTTGCCCGTGTACCGGCGTGGTGCTAACGCCGTTTCGGAACCGACATGAACGCACTACGTATTGATCGATAAACTTGTAGACACAATTTCGGCACGACGCTAACACGGTGCTGGCACTGAGCTTGTACCAGACCTAAGGTTGAGTTTCCATAAAACTACAGCGTAAAGATTACACTCCGAATCTCACAGTTGTAGTGAGTCTACCTACAAAAACTGCTGATAGTGATAAACAAAGCAAACAATGTGAACTGGGCATTCAGCTTTAACCAATCATTTTAACACCCGTGAAATTATCTAAATAATTTGGTTTTGGAACCACTAGGACAAATTCTTGTCGACCAATAAAGTTCACCTTACCTACTTTCTGAGTCTCTCGGTTCGGATACAGAAAAACAGCTTATCATACCCATGTATAAATTCCCCCCCCCCTCTGCAAAAATGAAATGAGCCCCGGAGAAGAAAAGCGAGTTTCGATGGCAAACATGTGAAAATGAATTATTCACGTACTAAGGCAACTCGGAAAAACCAAGAATTCCATAAATAATGAAAGTCTTACAGGTTTTTCTAGCATTTCAATTACTCGTTGGCGGATTTCTAGGTGATTTGTGGCGACAAATGGGGAGGCACTTGATAACAGACATATATAGTTGGTTTGTCTATGCTAGTGAGAAATAAGAGGAGAGGGGGGGGGGGGTCCAACCGCTAGTTCAATTTTCTGATGAATTTCAAGTGTTTAGTGATGGCTGTTCTTGAAGGAGAAACTCCTAAGCTGTAAAATATGAAGCATGGAGAGGAAGTGAAAGAATTGCAAGTTTCAAAAGCATGTTAGTCCGCACAGATTTCGAGGGGCTGGGCGGGAGCGAAAAAAGTACGAATCTTACCATTTAATGAAATGTTACATCATAATACTGTGTTTGACAACCCGACATTCGTGATTATACTTTTCATATCCAGAACAAATGATATTTGGCGTTGATTTCCATGCATCACGCAAAGCTTCTCTCAAAAGCATATTTTTGGCTCCCGCACTGGCTCCCAAGCTTCTGCCCTCGTTAGGAAGTCGGGAAGGCTGTGTTTTCCAGTTTTCCATAAAAGTGCGGAGTACTTTAGCAGTATGAGGAAAATCAAGGGATGCTTTTGGTCATTACCCTGCCCCATGACCCCCCACTTTACAAGTCTGGGATTCCCAAAAGTGCATAATGCAAGTTCTTAATGTAACTTGGTCACGATTTACACGCAGAGAACAACATGCTGGCGATGTAAAACGCAATTTACGACCCTAATGACCCTATCAAAGTTTTAGCAATAAAATAAGCAATAAAAAGCTTGAGACTAGCCCGAAAGGTAAACGATTATGCAGTTACATGCGGTCTCGTTTGAGTATAATTGCGCAAAAGTGCCGGTGAGCGGATAGAGGTAAGAAACGAAGCAATTACAGATTTATACTTTGATTTTCGCGCCAAGAATTAACGCTTGACAAGGGACTTCAAATTCAACCAGGTAAGACGAAATAGTATGTGATATATGAGAGGTCAGACAAGCAAAGAAAAAACAAGTTGATCTCTGTCAGTAGTCATTTGACTCGTTCAAACGCGTTAAAATCATTCCAAAACTTCGCTCTAATTCTGCAACCGCACAACTCTTCACAATACCGTACCTCAGCTTGTCGTGGCTGCTCCAAAACTTGGCAATTTGTCAGAACAAGCACCAGAGCGGCTATGGCCAGCAATAAGCGATGCATGAGTGCTGGAGGAGACTGGGGAGACGGACGACTTCAAGTGATTCTCACGTCGTCAACCGCGCCGCCCATGACACGCCCCGCTGCCCGTGTTTGGTTGGCCACGCCCACTTTCCCTTGGCTCCGCCTTCTTCGTTTAAGGTTTGCCTTATCTCTCAAGCTCGGAACAGGACAATTTAGCCGTATAAGCAGTCCTGAGGTGTTGCCCTTACCCTTGTAAGCTGATAGATTAGCTGACATCATGCAAGGGAGAAGGGAACGCAGGAGGGGGGGGGGGAAGAAGGTGGAAGGAAATTTTGAGGGTGTGTAACATCAATATTTTATGCTCATTTAGATCTGTTCGTGCCAGGCTATCAGATTTAAAATACAGTCGGTCCCTTCCTAATCTAATGTGCGCAGCTGCAGACACCATCAGAGTTGCGCGTTATATTCGGGCCTTCGTTGTACATACATGATCTGACCAGTCTGCTCCACATGTTTCTTTTCAAAACCGAAAAAAACGGAAACCAAGAAAAAAAGCAACAATCGCTTACACGAAAGAATCACTTGTAACAGAGGTCCAGGATAACACGCGCAACGTAAATGTTGTGTGCAATCGCACATGTTATTTTAAAAAATGACTGAAAAAATTATAAAAGTATGAACAAAATTATGAGAGTCACTTAACTTCTTGTTTCTGCGCATAACTGATGAGGATTTTTTGAAAGGAGTATTTGAGATTATTGCTTAATTTTGTTGTTTCTTTCAGAATGAAAAGGATGATGAAGTATCCATATTGAAGTCGGATTTCTCAGAAGAAAATTTTCTGTTTCAAACGCATACAAAAACCTTAAATAGCAATGCAAAAATCGTGCAGGAATGCATGCGTGACCAATTTATGCAAGAAAAAAAAACCTGAATGGAAATAAATTAGCACCTTCGGAACTTGCACGAGATGCGAAATTTATAGGTACATAGGTTATAACGCAATAAATGCCGCATATATTTTCAAGGGAAAATAGTGAGCTCAGCTCCTCAGTTTTGAAAAAGTATAGCCGACGGTATGGTTACCGTGGTGGGGTTCTTGGAATATATTTACCGTTAACATATATTTAGTCTGTCATCGCGCAAAATTCACCGAAATGACAAAATATCATATATAACAAAGCTAGCAAGCTCAGATGATCTTGGAGAAAGTGACTTCACTCGACATTGACGCAGATTTCCAGAGGATACGGTAGGATCACGGTAAGAATACGGTGGTAGGCCCTATGTCTTTTGCTCTTAGCATATTCTCAATACCGTTCATGTTCTCCAATGACAAACTCGAACAAATTCATAATGCAAATAAGCAGTAAAAATCGGGAATTTGCCAATTCAAACTAACTACGGTATGATGACAGTATGGTTACGGTAACAGACTCAAGTCATTTAACTACTTTCGCTGTTCAGTCCCGCTTCCTTAATACACAAAAAAATGCGACAGAAAATAGTGAGATTTTTACTATGAAAGCAATTCAAAGTGGGATCCGCGCTTTGCAAGAGCTGCGGTAGGATTACGGCAAGGTTACGGTAGCAGTATGGTCTTGAGTTTTCTATTTTTAGCATATTTCATCAAGGACAGCATGTTTTATCGGATAAAATGCACTGTCATCCGACGAAAATTGAGAAGCTTTCACCTTAGAAACGGTGAAGCTTGGACTGCTGCAGTATTATAGGAGCTACGGCAGGACTACGGTAACGTTACGGTAGCAGGCTCCTCGCATGTTTCTCCAAATGACAAATGACATCACAACGTCGACAAAAAGCGAGGCGCTTCCAATCTTTGCCAAACTTTGTTTTTATGTTTGCTGGTCCAGCGCCGAGATCACGAGGTGATTTTTCTGCGGATGTGGACAGCACAACACAAACCCAAGTTCCGGTGTGTGCTGTCTACTTCCTTTCGAATAATAGAGGCTAACGATCTGGACGCTAAAGTTGATGCCATGTTTGGTTTATATCGTTGTTTTTTGTGTACGAGATCAGCAAATCAAACGTTTTCGTGGCTAATTCAATTTTGTAGAGGTACTTCTGTATTAAGAGATAAAGGTTAGTAAAGGTAACCCCTTTTTGCATACATTCTCCGACTTACGCACAATTCACGAATGTCCTCAATGGCCCGAACTAATACGCAAATGTGTCTGAAGGTAAAAGGGGTCTCATTTTCTAATCAATATCAACATTAACAAAATAGACTTTTCGTTAAGACCGGGTCAAATAATGGAAAGAATTAGGAATTTCTGACCAAACTTTACATATAGATTATTCTATGACCAGGAGACGCGAAATCCCATTGCACACATTGTCTGAACAAGCCTAAACGTGTACTTAGCAGGTTTATACTTGTTATTCATCTCGTCCAGTTTATTCACTCCTTGAAAACAGGGAAGAACAAACTCAGACTTGTTAAGACAATATCCGCAATGCGGTCTCGCGTCTCCTGGTCATAGAATAGATCATACATAAAAATTAGGTGGGATATATGTTAATAAGCTATTTCCACCGAAAAGTACTGATTGGCTTCATTGATTTATTGATTTCGAGTTTTCTGATTAGCATTTTTGTATGACAGGCCTGAAATGTTAGAAGAAAAATTAAGAAACTTGAACCGAATCTTCCAAGCATAAATATCAGAGGGAGGTGATTGTTGATAAGAAATAGTATTGGTAGCGATTTATTTTATTGATTTATTGCAAATGACGCAGTGGCAAGCTGAAAATTGGCAGAGGGGGTAGGCAAGCATACTTATCAAGAATAAAATATTATCATTGTCTCTCTTATTGATCGCTTCCATTGATTCATTGATTCTTTCACCTTCCGCTGTTATCGCCACGTAGCGTCAGCAGAGCGGCTGGTTTATACTCTGATTTACCCACAACCTGCAAACATAGTTTTGGGCAGAATCGCCCAATTTTTTAGTTAGAATTTGGGAAAGTATCTACAAAGTACTTTAAAATGCTGAAATTTTGCTTACAATTTACACCTCCAAAGCATGAGTCGGAGTGAAGAAATGAATAATTATTCTGATGAGATAGAAAAAATGGAAGCATGGTGTATTTGCTCAACTATGGAATGACTTATTTCAGCGAACACAATTTTCTGCGATCACACACTTTCTTAACGTTTGCACTAAACTCGAGGGACATAAAGAGTCACGAGCAAAGCGAGTAATAAAAGGTGTCTCGTTCGTAATTTACGTCCAATAACGTATCATCAAGATCTTTTCAGACATATGTCCTTCTGCTTAATCAAAAGTGTACCTGGCCGAACTGGGATCGTAAAACTATTATCCCAAAGCCGAGAGTATGAGTTCAAGTATTACTGAGTCATCTATAACTAAAAATGAGAGTTGCAGAATTAGCGCAGAACCTTACGACAATTTGGATTTGTGTAGGACGTTTGGGGATGCAAACCAACGAGAGATGCTTCCTGTACTAGTTTGAACCTATTATAGAAAAAGGCTAAATAAAGACAAGACTGAGAAATTAGCAGCGGCTTACAAGCCAAGCCAATATAAATCGTGCGATGCGGTGCAAAGTGTGTAGCACACACATCTGGCTACAAATGACTCAACTGTATGTTCCCAAACTATCAAATTTTAGGCCTTACATTTGTATTGATAAAAATGATATTTCAGACCAAATGCTATTTGGAACTGTTAGTAGACTGTGCTAATTGTCAGTGGATTTCCAGGTGCAATAACGCCGCCCCCGCCTTGTTGTTTTTTTTTCAAAGTTTTTGATTGTATGAATACCCTTCTTCTCTCCCATAAACAAAATTCTCAGTTTCACCCGGAAACCTTTCGGTGAGTCAGGAAGAAGTGATTACTGTGTAATAGGCACAAGCCAACATCTTGTCCCAGTTGAATGGCGATTGCTGAGTCGGCTGCGACATCTCTAATCATTTGAAATTTCGCACTCTTGATTCACAAGTTTCAAAGAATTTTGGAGTTAGCACCACAAAAGTTGTATAAAACGCGAAAACAAAAATTGAGCGCATTATTCCAGCCCAGATCATGCAACTTTGAACGTACCCAAAGTCCTAGACCATTTTGGGGAAGGCATCATTTCAAATTAAAAAGGAGGCTCACATACTGCGAATTAGAAGCTGAAATACGAAACTTCTGCAAGTTCGTGACCCTAAAGAAACAAAAAATGAATTCCGAGTTGGCTTTGCTTCCAAAAAACATTTCACGCATCGCGGTTGATTCGAATTTTACAAATTCAATGTGATCATTTCCGTTTTTTACAGATAAATCAGCTACTAATCAGCTCGGCGATTATGGAGATTTTTGCTTCCTTTAAAATAAAAAAGAGCCAAAGGCAGAGGACTGGAAGAGGAGAGAGTGAAACAAGCAAAGCACATGTTATTCCTGGAGCGCTTAAGCCGCATTGGTGCGGAAAAGAAGCCGCAGCGCAGGTAGCTCATCACTAATCGCGACGCGGCAGGCTCGCGTTCACTACTATCTGCCTCGAGACCAGAATTTACTTAGCACTCGCAATAAGTAACATGCTGTGCACAAGTACATTTTCTTCGTTATGGTTTTTGTCACGACTACTTCCGACGACAGCATCAAGCTCATCGAATGTTACATCACTAGTCGTTGAGGGGAACTATAGTTCCTGCGTCTCGTCACTCCCATCCATTTTTTCAAGAGATATTCTCAACTCGAAAGACTGCTTTATCGCTTAATGCTATCGCTTGGCACAGAGGTGTAAAAAAATCATGTCATAAATTAAGTATTGTTGAACCGAAAGTTCTGTCGCACCATTCTCAAAAAAATCATAACTTCTTTTCCTCGCAACGATTTTGCGCTGTTCAAATTTTATCAAAAAGCGTAAAGCATGTAGTTTCAAGATTTCCGTGGGAACTTTCCAAGATGCTAGGTTGCAGGGATAAATATGAAAGAACGAGATCATCCGAAATTCGGAATTTTTAAGCAAAAATTCTAAAATTTAGAAACTGTGCGATAAAATCCAGAACAACCATTATCCTAAGTTTTCTTACATTTTATCACTAACTGAGTCAAATTTGTGCTGATCGAGCTCTTCTTTCAAAAGTTATGATTTTTTGAAAAAAAAAATTCCGAAAAATCAATTTCCAAAGAATTCTTAGGAAATTGATTTTTCGGCAATTTTTTTCAAAATATCAAAACTTTTGAAAGAAGAGCTCGATCAGCACAAACTTGACTCAGTTAGTGATAAAATGTAACAAAACTTAGGCCGATGGCTGTTCTGGATTTCATCGCACAGTTTCTAATTTTTTAGAATTTTTGCTCAAAAATTCCGAATTTCGGATGATCTCGTTCTTTCATTTTTGTCTCTGCAACCTGAGCATGCTGGAAAGTCCCCAGGGAATTTTTGGAAACTACATGCTTTACGCTTTTTGATTAAATTCAAACTGCGCAAAATCGTTGCGAGGGAAAGAAGTTATGATTTTTTTGAAAATGGTGCGACAAAACTTTCGGTTCAACCTAATATATAAACGTATTTAATCAAAATGTCATAGATAGGTCCAAAAACTTACTGGTTCTTTTTTCTCGCAGCCGACACTCAGATTTCACGAAATTTTCGTCATCTTCATATGCAGTGTCACGCAAAATTGCTACTTCTTCACACCAACTTGGATGATTCCATGCTTAGACAGAATCAATGTCAATTTTTTGGTGTCCAGAAAGTACATATATGCAACAAACTGTCGTGATTGCGTGCTAGAACAGGGTTAGAAATGGTGGGTACATGCCTATAAACAGAATAATTTTGGGGAAATCTTGCAGGCAGGACTGCATGGCGGAAGATTCGATGGAACTGTGAACACCAAAGATGGAATTTGAGAACAAAGATTGAGTGGAAACGTGTTGAAAATGAATAAGACAGCTCAAAAACATAAGATCAAGTCAAGGAAGGGGTGGTCGCAAACAAAAAAACGCAAAAAAGGCCATATTGATCCGTCTACCGTATGCCTATAGTAACGTACGAACGTCATGGGTGTACGGTAAGTGGGCGTGCCGTCCAGTACTAAATTAGTGATGCAGGTTTCCCTCGATCGTAAAGGCTACTGCACGACGAAGGCGCAGAAGCAGTTTCAGTTGAGCGGGCGCGAACGCGGCGCGCGCGTATCCTCACCGTTGTAAATACTGCGCCTCATGCGCTCTGCGGCTAATAAAGCCGCGTTCGCGCTCAAAGGTATTGCGCATTCGTCATGCAGCAGCCTACAGTTTCTTCAATCAAGCGGCAAATTCGGGCTCCGAGTGATCGCGATTTCGCGGATCGCTAAGCGATTAAAAGTCAGCACGCGAGGCTCCTGTGTCGCGGATGCCTAAGGCCCGCGAAAGGGAAACTGCACTTGTCACAGGGTATGAAACTAAACTAATCGTAGGCGTCCCTAAGCTATTTCTCTTCTTTTCTTCTCTCTTTTTCCTGCTCTATTTCCTTCTTGTATACTCTTTTGCTGTAAACAGGAAAAATACAGACTTATAAGGTTTTGCACTCTAACCGACCTCTAGGATTATTGCGACAAAACCAGAAGCGCTTGCGTAAATGTAGCTTAAACACTGGATACAACACTTTCCATTAGACAAAGTTTACTTTGTTGCATTTCTGTGTTCAAGAGGATTTTTTATGATCACCAAAGACCATTATATGGCTATTGAAACTACGTGTCTGAGCAAGAACAAGGGAGTGCAGCGAAAATTTCGGAAATTTCAAAAAATGACAGAAGTACTGTTCAAAGTTACAAAATAAAATAACGGATAAATAAAGGTTGACCTAAATTTCTTTGAATCTTTAGTCATCTCTCATACCAAATTGCAAAGATAATTTGTGAGCCTTTTTTATGGTACGTTACCGGTTTTATAGGTTTGTTGTTTATGTGTGAGGCATGCGAAAGCTGACATAATTCAAATTTCTCGTGTTTTGCGGTTAACAACAACATAATATAAAATGGAATGAGTCAATGAGGTGAAGCTTGAATGTTAGCACGCTATCGATGGAGGAAGCCCCAAAAAAGTAATTTAAGAATAGGGGGGGAGTAAGAAGAAAGAAATTTGAGGCCCAGCTTCTTATGTAGTTACTAATTGGAAGTCTCAAACTAAGCTAGAGCTCGAGCGACAGCTCATAAGATCTAGTGAAAAAATTCAAATTCAAGCTCTCGCCCAGTGCCGTATTCCGACTAGTCCGCTCGGAAAGAATACGGTAGTGGGCTAAACTTTAGAGTTAAATTTCCTTGCCACAGTTGAATCAGAAGAGCTCTTGCTTGAGCAGTGACTTAGTTAAAACTCTCCAATCGCCTTAATCATAAGAAACCGAGATACCCAAATTTGGTTGAACATATATTCAGTGTTATGCCTCGTTGACGTGAAAGTATCCATTATTCATGTAACAGCAACAATAATAATAACAAATACATTTCCAAGCAATGCCAAAGCAAAACATGTTATTCAGAGCATAAAACTCAGCAATCAACAACAAGATATAAATTTGAAGATCTAGAGGATTCATAACAAAGTAGTTCAAGTCGCAGATGCAGACGCAAGACAGCTTTTTATAGTAGATCTATGGTAGGTGTCGGTAGTCTGTAGAGTCATAAAGGTCAAGGCAATTTGAAGGTCCAGAAAAATCAGAAAGAAAATTGGAGCTTTCCTATATAAATTCTGGATACTGATGCATTTGCGGTGTCAACGACATTTGCGCGTAAAATATGGCCATGGAACTCACATCCCTAAGGTCAGCGGCAATTTGCGCATTTCAGCCACAACAAACAACAAGGAATAACAAAAAAATCAATAACAACAATGTCGTAACAGAAGCGAATTAAGATTTCTTTTTACGCTTGAACGCTTTAGCCTTCAGTTGGTGTGTAGTGATAAGCTTTCTAGCTTTTTTCTTCTTCACTTCTGCTTCAGCCAACCTCTCCTCTAAGGACTCCAATGTATTTGTTGACGATGATGCCACCTAAAATCAACTTCATTAAAACTTCAAGAGGAACATTTTAAACTCTACGATACCATGAGATCTTAGGAAAAAGGCATGGACAATCACCCCCCCCCCCCCATAGTTTTCTCAACAAAAAATTGGATTACATGAGATTATTGCAAACACATAAATGAAAGAGTCACTTGCATGACTTCTCAGATTAGCAAATTAAAAATGCTGTTACGTCTGATCTTTTCAGGAAAGTGTCTGCTGCTTGAAAGGTATTTGGCTCAAAACGAGAGGCAACCCTCTATTTCCAGAAACAACTTTTCAGCTCAAAGATGGGCTTATTTGAATGTGGAGTAGGAAGCCTTAACGACCCATTGCCCGAGAGTTTTCATACATGACCACAAAATTCAACTCCAACTCTCGCCTAGTACCGTACTCTTTCTAAACGGACCAATCAGCGTCTTCGAGGAGCCATAATGTAAAGGTGATCTTCGGTTATCAGTGGAGCATGAGCTGCCTTATGGGGATTCAGAAGGCTTCATGGTTTACACATAAGATCCAGGTCTCCTGATTGGTCTAGAAATTAATTTGAGTTTTTTTAATAGGCAGCTTCGTTAGAAAGAAGCTAATTAGCTCCACCTTCACCTCTACGGTCTACTATCCTGATAACATATTATATCGCACGAGGACCAGTAATCCGGAACTGAGCTCATAGACACTGCTATTCTACTCCTTTAACACAGTATGATCACTAAATTACATCCATAACTGAACCAAAAAGGCTCCATAGTTACGAATTTTTTTTGCATGGCCGAGGTAAAGCATGCCACCTTCTCTCAAGTTTCCCCTTTTTCCCCTAAAAAAGCTAACAATAGAGGTTCACATGAGCTGCACGTAAAGTGAAAAACATGTCTATGTTCCGGTCACAGATCAATGGTACAAAATGAGAACACCTTTCTTGAAGGCCTTTTTGCATCTAAGCCGCTTATGCAAAGTTCCTCGCATCTTTAACAATTTGCGTTGATTGGAAACAATAAGAACACTGCAGATTTCCGCAAGACACACCCCTGCATAATGGAAAGATCGTCAGACTCGTTCGAGAAATCTCCATGGTAAAAAGATGCTAAATTAGCAAGTATGTCAAATAAAGGATTGCGAGAAGTTGTAAGTCAGATTAGACAATGAATGGGAGGTATAAGAGAGGGATGAGGTAAAGGCTCTGCTAGCAACATATGAAGAGTGCTTTGAACAGAGGCTTTGAGATATGCTCAAGTGGTACCAAATGAAATGATGTAAATACTGAGCCTTAGCGGTCCGAGAAATTTTTCGGGGAGGGGGAGAGGAGAGAAGGGGGAGCGAGGAGAGGCGACAGGAATTCCATTCAGATGAAGCGGCTTGGCGTTAGCCATGTCCTTAGGGAAAATTTTTGAAATACGTTCCGAAATTTTTGGCACTTATAGCCTTGAAATTCAAAACAGGGATAGCGGCAGACACGGAAAAATTTCTTGTAAGACCAATTTAACTAAAAAAATTCTGCGACTCCCTCGATGGAGAAGTGGTAGGATGTCTCTCAGTCCGCCACTGCCACTGGTCATAGCACTAAATCAGAAATCACAGCCTAAGGCGTGTTATTGACCTCGACGCGACCTCTCCTAACACCGTACATGTATAAATAGAGACAAAGGTCATACAGTGCAACAACTATGTTTAATATCTGTTGCCCCCTTCACCGAAATTGAAGAAGACCTCCTTGACGTGGAACCGGACTACGAAGAAGACGAGCCGGTAGCAGAAGTCTTACCGCTCGCTGCCACCACTGATTCACCCTATACACGTCTAACTTGGTTGTATAAAAGAGCCTAGATGCCGAATTCTGGAGTCCTCTCTATCGTCCATTGGTGCCGAATCGCCGTTGGGCTTATTCGCTGTTGATGTGAAACTGTTGTGCCACCCAATTGGTTCTACCAAAGCTCGAAAAGATTTAAAAGCATCTGTCACTGAGTCAGAAAAGCCGACGAGGAAAAGGCGGTATTGCGGGTACTAGAGACTCTTGGGCGTTTTTGCCCATAACGAGAGCAAAAGTACAAAAGACGGACGAGGGTATGTCTTTGAAGTGCGAAGGCGGGACTTAGTGCTCTAGGGTCGGTGAAAGCATACATAAAAGGCAGAGTTGATACATTTTTCTGTATACATTGCACTTTTTCTTTTTCTATTGTTTCATATGTTTGAATCATCCTCTTTGTTCTCTATTTTTCTCTTACAAATGAGATGATAGGCAGAATCGCTAGTTACTCCAAAAGTAATTTTGCTATCAAACGATATTTCTGAGGCTTACCGCGACGAGGATCCGAAGAAGATGTTTTTGCAATAATGGACGACATTGACGATAAGCGAAGGCGACAGCAAAGGTTCGAAGACCAACAAAACCGCCTTGAAGGTCTCTTCAACGCGGTACTGAAGCAAGGAGCGAAGAAAAGCGCCTGTCTTACAGTTCTGTCAACCACTCGCCAAAAAGCCAAGATGAACTCGGCTTAAGTTAGAGCATGCACGCAAGAAAAGAAGAAGAAGGTGTAAAGAAAATGTCATTCTATGCCTGTACAACCGTCCTACTCTTACGTGATATTTCTAATTATTATGCTCAATCAAACAAAATATGTCTTTCTGATGTGGCACCAATTTCCCGGCAGAGAAAGCATACACCGCGAAAAAAGTGCAACTGATCAATTTTAAGAAAAGTGAGATTATTCCGAATGTATACAAGCAAATGTTGCTGCCTTTTTGCATTCTTGAGGCACTTTGCAAAAATGATGGATCACTTAACACGCATTCAATCTTCTTACGCTGGGATCATCTCAAAAAAGTGGTTAGCTAGTGCTAATCTGTCATTTCTATATGGCAGCGTCAATATGCAATCCAGTCAAAACATTCTATCAAACTTTGAGCTATGCAACAAAGTCGGTAGGGACTATTGAAATCGTATAGTTGAAGAAAAGTTGAGACAAAACAAACGAAAAACAAGCGATCGAAACAAAAAAGCCTTACCTTAGAGTACTGAGCCACCACATCAGGGTTGATGTAGCGCGTTTTCTGCAAGAAAATGGAGGGTAGTTAAAGAATTCAGTCTACAGAATTACATACAGGTAAATTCATTTGACTGATGTTAGGCAGGGGTTCAGCCAACTCAGCTCTCAGCTCCGCTTGCAATTCAACTTCTTGTGACTTAATAGCGTTCATCTCGTCGTTTGCGTTATTCTGCTCATGTTCTCTGAAAATGTAGCTCATGAGTACAATTTTAAAAAGCTTCTTGACCCACCTTCTGTCATCCATTTCCAGATCTGCTTCTCGAATCATCTTATCGAACCAATTCTCAGTCAGCCTTATCTGGAATACCGGTCAATGCTCATTTTCTAATATGACGTTTTTGCTTCATTCTTTGGCTAATAACTTCTCTGATGCGAAAAAAAGCTAAACAATTTGATAATTCGACAGATAATAACACTATTCAGGAAAATACCTCCGCCCGCAAGAAAACTTGAATAAGAAGTCCTAGTTCATGTTAAGCTTCCGCATCAAAAATCAAAAATGCCGATTTGACTTTACCAGTTACCAGTAAATGTTTCCCAATTCTAGGGTCCTGATAAAAACGCACTTTCTTGCTTCTATATGCTAATGTGTCGAGCGCAGATGCCAGTTCCACTCTGGTTCTCAATCGCCTCATTAGTTCCTGACAGTCGATGGGGAAAACAGGTAGATCCTTCTCTAAAAAAGCGCAAGATCTGATTAAGTAAAAAGAAATTACTAAATAGATGTAGCCACTGATACGACAAATATTTGCTCACCTCTGTTAAGATTTTTGCATAATCTCCTGTACAAGTGCGCATCCTTAGAATCTACTAAAAGCACAGATAAACCTTTACGCGAAGCTCTTGCCGTTCTACCCGACCGGTGGATGTAAAGCTGAAACGGACTTTGAGTTAGAGATAATTGAAAATCCTGGTCGCGTCTTACCTCAGCTGTTTTCGGCACTTGATAATGTATCACATTATCGATACCTTGGATATCCAAGCCTCTGGCTGCTACATCGGTAGCTAACAAAATACTTCTCGAATCAGCTAAAAATACGCATTTTTGGCCGGGAACCCGATAGAGGAAAATACTACACGGACAAACCCGTACCAGTAAACTTCTCCAGATTTTTCAATCGCACTTTCTGTTCCATCTTGGCATGAATCATTAACGGCTGAAGCTTTAGCAGCTTCAATATACCGTACATTCTTCGTGAAGCATCTATCGAGTTCGTAAAGATCAACGTTCGACCTTTATATCGTTCCAAAAGATAAACAACTGTCGTATCCTACATCGATCAAAAATTATTGGCGTACGAACAGCACTAAACTTTGGTATTTACCTTTTCTAGAAGATTTGAGCAATTGATTCTAGTCTTCACAAGTGCCTCAGCTGTACCAAAAGCTCGAGTGATGTCCACAATCTTGCACTGTGTGCGCATACCTGTCAGCTGGATCAGTTCTTCTGCAAAGGAAAAAATAATTTTTCGTCTTTGTTAGTTCTTCGTACAGATAAAATACAGATATTCTTAGTACAGATAAAATAATCCTGAAATGTGACGATGAGCTTGAAAATTAACGCGTATTCCCGTTTCAATGTGCTTACACCGAATCACAATGATCGCTTGCTCAAAGTTCCTTGTGGTTCGGTACACCAACATAAATATAACAGTAAAAATGAGAAAAATGAAAGGACGAAGCACTAAATAAGGTACTCACTTATTTTTTGCTGCGGTGTCAGTTCTTTCTTTGCCGGTTGTCCTGCACGAGGTTGTTCGTGATGAACATAGGTCAGTGTTGCTGAGAATACGAGGGTTTGAAGTTTCTCTGTCGCTGATCTAGATGAAAATTATTGGAAATGAAAATCCAAAAAGCATGATGAACAAAATAGTCAATTTTCTTTTCTTCAAGAAAGACTGAACAGAATAAAAAAATCTTACTTCCTCACGGTTTCCAAAATTTCCTGCATTTCTTCGAAATGACCTCTTTCCACCATCCGATCGGTCTCGTCCACTACCAAACACAGCAATCCACTCCAATCAGCCAGATAGTCGGAAGCGTGACTGCCATCTTCCTAAACAATCATCTTCAATGGTTTAGAAGCTAATTTTTGAACAGCCATATTTTTTCTACAACCTAAAACCAAAAAAAATCGAAAACAAGGGTAGAAAAAGTCGTATTTAGAGTAACATAGAGAAGAATTTGAGCAAGACTTCAAGTAACATCGAGAGAATAACAAACCATTTCCCACTTACCTCCTCCTTCATCATAGCCCAGAGTCGACCCGGTGTTGCTACTATCACTTCAGGTTTCTGCTCTTTCAAAATTCGTGCCTGTCGTACTTGAGCTAAGCCGCCAACAATGGGAAAAGCCTAGAATCGTTTGTAATACAACAAAGCGGAGATAAATTGCTAACGCTCACCTTGAAATTCGTATACTTCAACACGGCTGTCACGTGTTTCATAACCTGAACCACCAATTCTCGCGTGGGTGCAAGGATCAAAGCCTTCGGTCCCTTTCGATTTGACTGTGGCTCTTCAGGCACTTCCAGCAATCGAGCCACCATAGGAATGGCGTACGCTAGAGTTTTGCCACTACCCTGGCATTGAACTATTTAGTAAGAGGTCCGAAATACAAAAAAAAGATGATCTCACCGTTTCCGCTGCACCCAATACATCACATCGATCTCTAACCGCTAATGGCAACACTTGTCGCTGGATTTCTGTGGGAACTTTGAAACTGTAAATGCCAAAAATAGAAACTGAGCATGTGATTGAACGCAATCTACCCCAATTCTTTGATAGCCTTCGTTACAGGCTCAGGCAAATATAAATCATCCCATGACGATTGAGCTGGTTTTGTGACATCTAAAACCAAGAAACAAAAGCAATCAGATAATCCAAGCAATCCAATGATCCATCGGACAAAACCTTTCTTATCTTCTTCATCCTCATCATCGATAACAATTCGCTGGACCGATTCCTCGTCCTCATCTGCTGCAGCGGCGGCATCAACTACTTCGCTTGTCTCAGGTTCTGCCACTTCGATTTCCTTCGCAAACTTGACTTTCTTCGCAGGTGAAGCTGACCCATTTTCTTTCTCTAATTTTCGTTTCTTCTTTTTCTAAAACAGGGTGGAACAGTTGGTGGCACGATTACCACACATAGATTGACGGTTGCTACGTGAACATTTGAAATTGAAAGAGAAGAAATTTGGCTGCTATAGTGAAAGAAATTAGTCATTAGCGGGTAATTCCGGAGCAGCAAAAAAAATCATAACCCATTTTTCATGTTAGAAGATAAAATGAATGAAATCAAAGGTTGGTCTTATGAATAGAACATAGCCTACCTTCTTCTTATCAAGTTTTACTTCTCCGGATGTTGACTCAGCATTCTCCAAAGTTTCTTTCGACTTTTCCACTTCGCCTGTTTTATTCTTCTTCTTTCTTCTCTTTTTCTTCTTCTTTTTAGCACCATCTACCACCTCTTGATTCTCACCCTTCGTCTGAAACAAAGAAGCAAAATGATGCAGATTTTGAAGCAAGAAATGTAAGCCTCAATCTGATGGCAAACGCTGACTACTTTTTTTCTCTGAAAAGGATTACACCCTGCACGAACCTTTCCATTCTCAACGTTCTTGATTTTCTTAGCTTTTCCCGATTTCGTTGCACTGTCACTGTTCTCCGGAAGCAGCTCTTGGAACGATCCAAGAAATCCAAATTCCGCGTCAGCGAAATTACCAGTCAGCACACCTTCCTTCCATTTGCCTTGCTTGGAAAGCGAGACCAAATGGGGCATGTTGTTCAAGCAGTCTAAATTAGTCAATAATACAGGGTCCAACTTGTAAAGTGATGGATTAGACTGAATATAGAAACGGCAGTTTTTCCACGCAAAGGCAAACTTGATAGTAGTGTTGACACTTCTGATACTCGTTACCGTAAATGATTCAGAAATTTATCTGTAAATAATCAACAATTTCAACAATTTCAACAATCAACAAGATGTGTAACAAATATTGTTTCAACAGTCTCAAACTAAGATAAACATTTTCCGTATTTACAGCAACATCTACCATTTACTAAGAATCAGTTTCCATGGCTTCCACATTTTGTTTTGAGCTTCGCTTGCGAGCAGCCAGAATATAACGTAAAGCAAACTTGTTCTGATCTGCCCTAGAAGATAAGCAAAATCAAAAACAAATGAATGCTAAATAGATGAGCGGGAAGGGATGAGAAGAAGTAATTCGAACAAAAAATAGCTATGAGAAAATGAATCAAAAGTCAGATGATAACTTACAATTTTGTTATCAACTGCGTATGATGTGCTACTATTTGCTGTATTCCGGTAAGTATAGCCATATCTGTTCTACCTTTCAATCGCATACCATGAATATTCAAGATGTGTCGTAGCCAAATCTATAAATATTCGTATACAATCTCTTAAATAAAGGGACTACCAATGCGGAACATTTCGGAACATCATGCAAACCATGAAATTCTCACCATGTAGAAATGAACATGTGGAGAATTAGCTACTACTTGACCATCCGCCATCCATTTTAACAGCTTTTCTGCATATATGACTGGTAAGGCTTGAACCACAAGTGCGACTGCAACCAGCTTTTCTCGCGAACGTATACACATATACCTTACCCGACTTACCTTGGTCCATAGGAGTGTTTTCCATTGTTTGCTGTATCAGTTTCGTATCATTTAATCGCAAACTGGCCATAAGTGCCGTCGAGAAGTCGCACATGGAGATAGCGCTGGAAAGCAGCAAAGAGAATTTCGACAGTAGTAAACATGAGCTTCAAAAAATGCCTACTTTTTGACCATATCTGGAGTAGTCTGGCTATCTAACTGGAACGGATCAAATACTCCTACAGCATCTAGTGAATATACTCCTACACCTTCTGTACTGCAAACAGCAAATCGACGGCCTAAAATCATCGAGCTGAAACTGTAGCCAACTTGTAACGCTCGCAAAGGCAACCCATAACCGTACATCTACAACTCACCTGTGGGGCAATATGCTAACGCATAAACGGCTATTTGCGGGCGAGCACTTCTTTCTCCAAGGTCGAAATGCTTTGATCCCGGCAACTTGATGGCCCGTTTGCCATCAGGTTCGGTTTCCGAATCAGAATCATCAACAAGAGCCATGTTGCCAAATTCCGTAAAGTTTCGCCGGTTTACGTCTAGCTGTATAAAAGAACACTCATAAAAAAACACCGCAGAAAGATAATGGCTTAAAATTTATAAAAAAAATAATTTGAAAAAGTTTTCCAGTCATAAACATGTGCTTACCACGACACCATCCAGGCTACGATTCGCCGTAATCGTAAATTTCTTCATCAGCATCCTATCTGGAACCGAGTACAAACAGAAGTTATTTGAGTCGCCACCCAGCAGCAACAATGCACTGTCTGGTGAAAACTGCATGCAAGTAAATGATCTGTAAAAGAGGTAATAAAAAGGTTGACCACTTGAGAAAATGCTACCAATTAACAACTGACTTGTTCTGGGCGGCATTTTGTCGGGTTATAGTGTCAGCCTGACCTCGTCCTGGATCCAAATCAAACCTTGCGTCTATTGTACCGACAAAAGCCATCTGGAGTCAAAAGTAATTTTGTATGTTCAGAAACGTGTAGTTCATAAGCATAACAATGCGAAGATGAAAAACTAAGCGATAAAACGAGTAAATGGAAAGATACTTGAACAAGCGAACAACTTACGTCCTTTGCGTGGTATATTGTGACATTTGAATCCACAGTCAGCGCAGCTATCAACTGCCCACATGGCGAAAAAGCAACAGCCAGTCCTTCTTGTGCGAGTTCTGTGGTCTCACACGTAGAATCAACGATATTCCACATCCTAGAAACGAACGAGCAAAATGTAGTTCACATAGTACAGAATTCTCAAATTAAATTCCAACTCACTTCAAAGTTCTATCCCATGATATACTAGCTAAGGTGTTTCCATATAAGCTTATACTGGCAACATTAGACTCATGTCCACTCAGAACATCAAGCAGAGAGCCATTTTCCATACTCCAGATGAAGATCTAGAGAGGAGATAAATTGAAATAGAGATAGGATTGACAGAACAGAATTTTCCAGAAAAGTCCTAGATGTGATATGAAAATGGCAATTAACACTGATTGTACAAATCACAAAACTCACATTGAATATTTCCTTAGCAGCAGCCACTACTATATCGCCTGCCTGATCTACAGCCAAACTTCCCAGTTGGGTTGGCTCGGGACACACGAGTGTGCGGAAGTTTCGATACCTAGGAGACATAACGCGATGAACTTTTAAACCGTGTCAATAAAAAATGTCTACCTTTTGAGATCATGTGCTCTAACAGTCCCATCCAATGAAGCACTCAGAATAGCTTTGCCACTTTGTGTCCAACAAACTCCAGTGACAGCAGAAGTGTGCTCGTCGAAAGTTACGGTACAGAAGGCTGTTCGTCCATTCCAGATTTTCACCCAAAAAGAAATGTCATACATTACTAAGCAAATTGTCGACCAACTATCAAGGTATGATTAAACGGTAAGATGAAATTACCTTGCCATCCTCAGCGCCTGTGGCAAGTAATGAGCCATCAGGAGAGTACTGTACAGCAAGTATCCGTTGAGAATGAGCTTGTTGCTTCAATACGTAAGTCTCCGATTGCCATTCCCATACCTAAACCAAATACCGATGGGAAACATGACAAAGACATTGTACGGCACTTTGCATGACTGAAAACCTACAACTAATTGCGCCGCAGATCCTTTTCCACATCCTAGAGCTAGCCAATCTCCAGTATTATTGACGGCTACGGTGCTTATCTGCATGTCTGACACTCTGCAAACACCAGGTTAGGAAGAAACACCCAGAAAACCTGATTGGAAATACCTCAGATTATGGATGAGGGAAAACGAAGGCACTTCATGTAATACAAAAACGCCATTAGAAAAAGCGGTGACCAACAAATTCGATTTGACATGGATTCGGCACGCTGTCACATCGATTCCAGTCTTACCACTACCAGAAGACTCAAGCAGTGAGTAACTGAAATTGGCGAAGTCACGGCTGATAATAAATAGCGAAGACATGCGTAACTCAAGTCTAGGTAAAATAGGCCAACCATCAGAGAAGAACCCTTACCGCTTTTCTTTGTTATAATGTAACCTTGTTACTGATTCGTCTTCGCTCGCAATGTCTTCTTCGGGCTTTGTCCATGTCCCTAAAATTTGTGGATGACAAAAAGCAAGATGCACCATTTCATGCTTACCTTCAACTAGGTCTCCAGGTTGAATAGAAGCTATCCAAACATTTGCGATTCCTCGACTACACACGGAGATGAGCTAAAATACACAACAATCTTAGAATTCACAAGAACTTTTCTTCGCAGAAATAGAAACTCACATCATAATTATTATTTATGAACTGGCAAGTGACTATGGATCCTTGATGTGCAGCTAAGGGATGAATAAACAAATTGCGATAGTCGCGAGATCCAACTACACGTACAACGTGGTCGTCTCCTCCAGCGACAACAAGGCTAAAAAACCAAATTTTGGTTATGTTTTAACATTTAGATAATCTGCCAAGAGCATGCATGGAACGAGTCGTTTGATAATGATACAAGTTGTAATAAAAATTTTTGCGCAGGTCTATATGCAGTTTACACACTGACTGAAACAAATATGAAGGGAGAACCCACCACAAAAAAATTGTCGTCAAGTCAAGGGATGATGCAAATCGTAAGTTATGCAAAGAATAATAAGATGCTCACCAGCCATCGCTCGACCAGTCCACGCAGTTCAACGTATCCGAAGACAATTTATAAGTCTTATGCAGAAAAAAAGGGTAAAACATCGAAGTGGATTGCTTTGCAATTTGTTGGATTTGCAAATCCATATCGCGGCATATGGCGATGAAACTAAAGACAAATGATAATCAAATAGGTAAAATCAACAATAACAGAGAGAGAAGACGTGGCTGCAACAATGGTGACAGAACAAGATTCAAGAAACCTACTTTCCATCCGGTGAAAATTGCACAGCCCTAACGGTGCGATTGGCTCGGAATTTGAAAATGACAGTCTCAGTATTTGTATTTATGTACAAAACGTGTCCACCTGTAACAAAACTTCACAGCTATTATCAATTTTACGCTATAGTGCTTACCTTCATTGGCAACTATCATATGGGATCCATTGTAATTCATAGTTAAGGCCGTTATATTGTGCATACAGTCAAAGGATAGGGTCCTCGAGACATTACTGCAAGGCAGAACTTTGCAAATCAAAAAAGAGAAAAAAGAAGTGCAGAAATGGCCACAAAGGCGTTGAAATCAAACGAAAAAGTGAACACAACTCACTTTTTCAAATCGAATACTGAAACCTTGTTTCCAACAGGACTGATCACAGAATAGCCATCCGGTGAAAAAATCACGTCACCATTGCGATAAACAGATCCAATGAGATTAGAAAACTAAAAGTATTGACTAGAAAGACAAAGGTATACAGATCTGAAAGTTGCAAATTCTCACTCACACGAAAATTTAAGTCCATACAACACGTGGATGATCTGTTCAAGCCAAAGTCTGCTGAAGAAAAAGCTGAAAAAAGAGTCATGATGCATGGGCCAAAGCTTTCTTCACAATCATTTTCAATGTGCAAGAAGACATCATGCGTTTGGAATAGCTATAGCAAAAAGCAAGAACTTCAGATCGGAATAACACTTGAGATACAGCGTACGAACTAGCACATTTGAGTTGAAATAGAGTTTCAACGTTGACGACAACTGCGCTCAAAAAATGACCATGACAACAATACATGAAGACAAGGATCCCGAATAGCCATTTTGCCCAAAATATTATTTGTGAAACAAATGCAGCACCTATGTTCTCGCAATGTGCATTATCCACCAATAGACGAAGATTAGATAATGCAGAAAATCTTCGGTTGGGCTAGGACGAATGTAAAAAATTGCAAAAAATCAAACAAATTGAAAACAAAAAAAAACTAAAATCAAAAAAAATGAAAGGATGATCGCTGAGAAAATTAAAATACAAATTAAATTAAACAATCGCATAGGACGGTGTTAGGGAACATGTTGGGTAGAATTAGATATCACACAGTGTCCGTTTCATGAACGAACCCTAAAAATAAGAATCTTCAGTGGTATTTTCAAAACGATCCTTATTTACAAGGTACCAATCAACTTTGATTGTCTCAAGCTGGATTTGTGTCTTATATAATAAGAATATGCGGTGATAATCTTACCCAAAGCCGATTTCAAACGATGGTGAAAACTACCACTGTCACTTGATTCGATAGAAATATCTTCAGCACGTTCTCCATTCGATGAACCTAATTTACAGGAATAATAACCCCTTGGTTCTGCGGTAAGCAGCTTGTATCAACAAAAAAGTTTCAAACGACTGATCAAGAAGAATGGCTGAACTTAAATTACGAGAAAGTTAACAGAAAAACGATCATAAGGGACATATAAAAGGGCATAATTGTCGTCTACACTCTTACACGACCCATTACATATAATCTGAGACAATCAACTTATTGGTTTTTCACATGGTACGGAGACAGGTACGCCACACTAGCAAGGGAAACTAGCTGTACAACTTGCTCGCCGAAATGCCAAAAAAGTGCGAAATCTTGCAACCCAAAACAGGATTAAAAATCCGGAAATTATTCACTCTCGCAAATTTCGTAGCTCGACAAAAAGAAGTTCAAAAAAGCCACCTTTAAATTTGGCTGCTCAGCCGCTAGCATGTCAAACATCAAATACTCAGTCAAGAGTGGGCGGAGTTTGACATGTTGCCAGCTCCATCAGCGCCTCGGCCAGCTGGTCGATATCGCTGCCGCGGCGGCACCAGCGCATTCAGTGGCGGTGGCCGAGAGCGTGACGTCTTCTTGACTGGTCAGGGCTACTGGTAAGTTGCTTACCACTGGGTAGAAGTCGTGACTGTCACGACATTTCGCTGCTTCCCGATTGCTGCGCTTGTTGCAGAGCATTGCGCCAATGTCACGACGTTCGCGTGTTTCGGACGAAATCGACGTCATATCCACTAGCGACGATGAGATACCGTTACCACCGACAAAACCTCCTATCACTATACGTGGTGTCGGTCATATCACTATGTGGGTTCTTTTAAGCCATCAATCAGTGCTGAAACAGCATAGGAGCATTCGAAAGTCACTAAAATGGTGAACATTACTTTCTTTTATGGAATGGATTGTGAGGAAAAAGCCGAATTCTGCTTGGAAATCGAACACTTTGTGAAATCGTAAATCAATATTTCGAAAACGTCATACACAATGTTCATTTGATTCATATAAACATTACTTACCAACAATGCGCAAATAATTAATGACATCAGAAGGATGAAGAAAAAACAGATTTAATGTACTATTTTGGACGATGCGCTTACTCAAAGACGTTAGAAGAATAGAAAGACATTAACCAATAAACGGTGTCCAACAAATAATAAATTTAATGCTTTCTTTTGAATAAATTTGCGTTATTATCAACTTATCTGCTATAAATATCGATCTTAAACTTTTTGTTATAGATTAAAAAGCTTTATGCAAATCCCTTTTACAACATCCATTTCAAGGCAGATGCTTTCAATGCTTTCCATTCCAATTTCCACTCCCTTATAGCCTTGGAGTTTTCTCGAATTCGCCTTACAGCAGCTTATTGAGCTTTTTTCACAACCTTCTTACTGCGTTTTTTTCTCAGCAGTTTAGTGCGCTTAAGTTGGTTGTTGAAATCCAATTGCAAGGAGTTTTTATTCTGTTGTCATAGTCATACTTTAGCCTATGTCACATAAAGAATCATAATGGAGGTGATTTGCATGAAGACTGATGGGTTTGCTATGAGAGTTACGTATGGCTGCCTCGTTAACATCTACTTTTTACTCATAATCTATGGCTATTGTAAAGGAAAGTTTATTATCCAATCAAAATGCGTAATCTAAGTAATCATTTTTTTTCTACGATTATGATCGTTGGAGATAGTTAAATACAGGGTGTCCCAAAAGTATGTATCGAACGTTTGATCGTTAATATCTCTCTTCCCAAGAAGTCTTTTGCCTTGCTTCAAGTACCATTTTGTAGAGCTAGCTTCAACTTAGATTTGCATTATAGAACGAATCACTCATTCCTCTTCATTACTGTAGGATTACGGTAGAAACTTCAAAGAGGGTTTTAAGCAATGAAAGGCCATATTTTGCCTTAGAAAGGAAATAAAACAGCCTGAAAGTTTTCACACTAGGCTAATTAGAGTTGCTGATTATAACTGTGAAGTTCCCAACTTATTATGATGCTTCATTGAGGAGTTATGCCAGGTAAGAGGTAGCGGCCATTTTTTCAATGTTCCTAAAAAGTGCGATTACACCGTTTAGAAAGCTTTGTAATCTTGTGAATAGTTGAGTATTGAACTCAGCATCCATAAAAACCCTATTACACAAGTTTTCACAATTTTTTGAAGAATTTTGGAACTGCAGCTTTTTCCACATTGACACCATATGTTTCAAGTTTCTACCGTAATCCTACAGTAATGAAGAGAGATGGGTGATTCGTTCTTTAATGCAAATCTAAGTTGAAGCCAGCTCTACAAAATGGTACTTGAAGCAAGGCAAAAGACTTCTTGGGAAGAGAGATATTAACGATCAAACGTTCGATACATACTTTTGGGACACCCTGTACAATGGTTATCGGATTTATCGATGATGCCGACTTAGCGGATCTTGAATTTGATCCATCGGAATTTGATCCACTTCTCTATCGGTAAAATCAGTGAACTTGAACTGACCGATAAGAAGCGATATTCACTTGATCCGCTTGATCCACTTCATCCAATTCGCTATTGGTTCTTTTCACTGATTTGACCAGTAGCGAAGTGGATCAAGTATGGCATGTGCCATAGTAATGTATGAGTATGGCTAGTGTGAACGGAAAATATTGTTGTAGCTGAAGCTGTCGTTTATCATATTTTGTGTTTGAATTTACTCACCTTTATCATCAGTTTTTTTGGGAATTTAGTTATCTAAACATTCATTACATACTTAGTCTGTTGAATCAAGCAAACAATCTCTATCGGGTTTTTCTCGGTAACGTCTTTAAAGCTAACGAGCTTTGCTTATAGACTTTAGCATTCATGCGCGTTATTGCATTACACGATTCATTGAACGCACCCTCTTATCCGATTTCTCCGAGTGAAAGAAGATTAGTGCGTCACCAGTCAAATTGCCTTATCTGAATATTCTTTCGTTCTGGCACGTTACTATCGGTGTTGAATCATCTGTCATTTTTCTTTATAAGGTTGCTTTGTGAGATTAGTCATAGTTCTGTGAACGGCTACTTTTTGATTGTGTCACAGGAAATAGAAAAAAATGATTATGTTACAAAGCGATTCTCCGAAAGTGTGTTTTCCATGATCGAGAAAACTCATTTGTGACTATGCTTGGAAAACAGTACAGTCCATTCAATGTTGAACAATGTTGTAATCAAGGACATTCAAGGACTATCCTTTTATCATTGGAGCAGTTAAGAAGGCACATAAAAACACCTCCCTGTGTCTTGTCATGCGCTGCAGAAGTGCTTCCGTACTTTGCTCGGGTCACGTGCTCAATTAGAGCTAGCGCATAGAATGCAAAAACTTAGGTCTTCTTATCCTCAGGAGGGAGCTCAGGATGGAATTGCTGAGAAAACGGGTAGGCGGTTAGAAAGACTCTATGGATGCTTTGCGACAATTTCCTCGCTTTCTAATTTTTTAGATTTACGTTTTCTGAGCTGATATACAGTCTGTCTCAATTGCTGTGTCCAATTCGCATGCGGCTACGCTTCCGCAGCCCGACAGACTTGTGTAGTGACGACTTTATAAGGCCGAAGTTGCTCTAAACGCTGTAATGCGCGAAACAGGTGTATCGGTCGAATGAAAACACTACGACTGAGACAGACTTTGACTTCACAAAAGAAAAACTACTTTGTTTTGCTAAGCAATACTATATTCAGTAGTTGTCACTTATCAATTGAAGTTTGGTTTTTGCATTTCTGTGTTAAGCAACAGCTTGTCAGCAGAAATGTCTGGAAGTAATGGTCTGCAGCAAATTAAGAGAGATTTGGAAGCCAAGACTCACTTCCAAGCTTCCCTCACCTTAGAAGGCATAAAGCCATCAATTTTATGCTTGGAGCTAAAGGCTACCAAACAATTTGATTGAATTATGCATCACGCGTGGCTGGACCGAATATTACATCATCTTCTTGCAACTAGTGTGTAACTTAATGTTAATGTAATTTGAAACCTTTCACTTGTGCGCAGAAGCTTGAACAATTGGGACATCTTATATATAAAGCTGAATGTCTGTTTGTCTGTATGTCTGTCTGTATGTATGTCTGTCTGTACGTATGTTCCGAATAGAAAATTCCATTTCTGAACCGATCGGGACCAAACTTGGCACACATACACTTCGGGCCCCGGCGGGTGTCATAGGCTACTTTTCGTCATCGATCGATATTGATTTTATCGATTTTTTGCAAAATTTGAGCTAGGGGGCTGGAATTTGGCAGGGGGGTGTAATCGAGCATGCCCGCCGGGGCCCGAAGTGTATGTGTGCCAAGTTTGGTCCGGATCGGTTAAGAAATGGAATTTTCTATTCGGAACATACGGCGGAGCCGGGTAAGCCAGCTAGTTTTCTATAATCAGCATTCTAAAATGTTTTATCAGACCAGCTCAAAGTCTTTTTTTGTACTAATGCTTGATTTTCGTCTCAAGCAAACTATCTTAATTAGCTCCTGTTTACAGGTTTGGTCTCAACTCGCGATTCGACACAGATTTTCCCAGTGAATTGATTGGACGGGTAGCGCCCGAAGAGCTATCGGATACTCTTGGACGAATAAATAATGTGCTCAAACGTCATGTACAAATGTCAAGGTGCGAGCTTGATTAATCCGCTGTTTTTCTGAAATTTATTTTATTTTAGTCGGTGGCTGCTATGCGGTTTGCTGTTTTGTTGCTGTTCATTTGGATGCTCACTGTTTCCGGTTGTTTGCCTGAATAGGAGGGCAAGTTTTTGTCATTCTTCTTCTGTTTTTTTCCAAGTTTAGGATAGAAATTATCACTATATAAAAGTCCATTTATGACAACGTTTGAAGTCCAAAGCATTTGATTTTTTTATCGTTTTCGGAAGATGCGTTTTTCTTGGCGGGTTATCATTTTTGTAGAATCAAGTTTTCTTCTTTCTTCTTTTTCTATGTTTGAAATATTTCGTGATTTCAGACAGTGACAGCCGTTGAAAAGACGTTGGATCATGAAAACATATGTCTCTATCATAAACTGGGCCTTCACTGGCGCCTGGTGAAGCGTCCAGTTGATGGTTCGCGGCTGACGGAATATGTGTTGGAATTGCAAACGCTTCCCAAGGTTCAACTAATGTTACCGGATTGACATTCGACATTGGTGGATCAGTGTTTTGCAAACATCACTTCGTTACACGGGGTCACCTCCAAGGGTGGACGAGTTCTAGCATTTTTTGTACGGCATCATTGGAATATCGCGGATGCCATTTGTCTTTCTGTGGAACATAAATAATCGCTCAAAGTTACTGCACGAACTTGGAATAGGGTTCCCTCATTTGTAAGGTATGGACCAGGATCTTACCGTAAAGAGATTGCCCAGATTTTGACTCTAAATTAATTTTATCTTTTTTTTTTTGGATGCAAGTTCGAGATGCGATTCAGAGCTCGTAAACATCGTCGGCAAGTTTAGAAGACTTTTTGCGCGAGACTAATGCGTTTGTTTTATGTATTGATTCGACAGTGATGTTGTTCGGGAAATGCTAGAATGTGCAGGAAATCTGAAAATGCTGAAGTAGCGTTAAAGGAATTTTGAAAACTTCGCTTCATACTGCAGCGTTTTTAGTTTTCTGCATAGTATATACTGCCCGTGATCGACCCCATCAGATGACAGCAGGAAGGTTTCAGGTGTCATGCTTGGCAACTCTGGTGTCACAGTTCATCGATTTTTGGGTTAGGCCGCAATTGCGGATTTCCGTGAATAATGAAGGAAGTATGAACAGTGACACTAGCCAGGCGCAGTGATAGCAGTTCTTCGTTTCTTAAATGTTTTTTGCGTTTCTTTATATGACATAGCCGCCTTGAATCAACCAGTGAATGTTCTCATCATCGCAGTGCGCAGTGTAGCATATTTCAAAAAAAAAAATTTTACGCAAATTATTCTGTTAGTCTACAATGTTCATGTAAATATAAACGTGGCAGATGTCTTACATTCATAGTCACAAAATCGCCTATATGTTCATTTTTGCGCTGATTATGGGTAGTGCAAAGCTATTAAGGAATCATTCATACATTAAATGAGGATATCTTTGTACCATTATTGTTGTTTTTGTCGATTGAGTTTATTTACCTGTGTAGAATATGTGCAGTTGAGGTTCTTGTCTTGAAGCTTTAGGTGTTATGACAAAAGTCAAATGAGTTTTTTTTTTGCGTTTTACCGCATTGTCTGCCTGTTTTATCCTGTATTTGAATGAATATGTAACAATCAAATTGTGACTCAGTTTGTAACGGAAGATTTCCAATCTTATCTTGTGAGATATTCCATCGTTTGTGTTCTTGAGAAAAGAAGTTGGCATGGAGACGGCGACTTTGGAAAGTGCGCACACAGGCAGGAGTGGAATGAGACAACAATAGTAGTCCCTTTCTCCTTTCCCCATTTTAGGCGCGACTACTACGAAAAGGCGATAAATTCACAATCAGTCTGACTTGGCCCAGAATGGAAGAACTGGAGATCTGGCGCTGAATGCCGTAGCGCTTGATTAGTTGTGTATACTAAAACTTTCTTCTTGAATGACTTTAATCAAAGGAAAGGAAGAATGCCGTTCACTACGAACTACGTCGCACTGAATAATTTCGTTTACATGGCACCAACTGACAAATGTCCGTCGTTCAGTGCGCCTTGCGCCACTTGCTCAGCTGGTTCCAAGTTGTTTCGCATAGGTGGCATTTCGTGAATCTGCGCCTCATGTGCTACGGAACCGCTTCTACACTTTTCGGTTTCAACCGAACTCGTCATCAAGATACTGGTAACGTGACGCAGCGTATAAATTTTTCATATTCTAGGGAGAAAAGCTAGAGTTGTTGTTCATTGAAGGAGAGCACTAGGCAGTGAGAGTTTTCTGGTGGAATGGGCAGCGAGAGAAAAGACAAAGTTGGATTGATTGATTGTTTTGCATTGATCGTTGTGATCAGTTTTTACCGCGCATTTATGGGAAATCAAACTTGTTCCATCTATTTGCGCATGATCTTTTGGTGCAATGTATCTCTGTTGTCCCAAAGGTTACTGCAGAGCGCGATGAGTATCCGAATCCTTTACCCGTACAATTTTAAGAAATATTCCTTATCTGTTTGCTTCCGTGAAATTCTCTTTTGACAATTTAGATTGTACAACGAAGACTAATTTACAGATGTCCAAAAACATCAAAACCCCGACGAATCAGAAACTCTTGACAAATGTTGCTGTTGTACGCATGAAGAAGATGGGAAAGCGATTCGAAATTGCGTGTTATAAAAATAAAGTGGTCAACTGGAGGAACAAAACGTAAGGCGTTTGTTCATTCTTGTTGGGCCTTTCCGTTCATGTCTTGCATTTTTTATTTTCTACCGATTTTTATCAAATTCATTACTTTCTACTACTTTATTTTTGGCTAAGTAACGCAAAAATGAGCAGAAACCTAGCAAATGCTTTGCGTAAGTCACCAAAAATGGAGACATGAAAAAGTTACTTTTGTGCTTCCGTTTTTTGCCGACATGGATCAGCACTTTTATAACAGCTTCTTTTAGCGAAAAAGACATCGATGAAGTGCTACAAACTCATACAGTTTTCAACAATGTATCGAAAGGGCAGGTAGCCAAGAAGGATGAATTGACGGCTGCATTCGGAACAGAAGATCAGCTGGAAATTTGCAAAATTGTGAGTTGTCATTTCGCGTGAAACTGTGCTTATCAAACAAGGTTTTTTAGATTCTTGAAAAGGGTGATTTGCAAGTGTCTGACAAAGAAAGACAAGCAGCTTCGGATCAATCGTTCAAAGAGGTAAAACGAAACGTATCGTTGAGAGTGTTTGATGAAGGCATTGTTTTTGAGGTTTCGCAACTAATTGCATCGATGGTGGTAAATCCAGAGACAAAACGTCCCATTCCACCTTCAGTAATTGACAAAGCTCTTCACGAAATGCACTTCTCGCTCAAGCCGAATAGAAATGCCAAGCAGCAGGTAAACCTAACTCATCTTGCTGTCTGGACATTTTCTTGTGTATTTCTCTTCCACCATGTATTTCTCTCCGTTTCCGTTGTTTTATTTTCATCTTCATTAATTCAGCCGTTCAGGCATTAGAAGTGATACCCAAGCTTCGCGAAAACATTCCTATCGAACGTGCAAAGATGCGCATTCGTATTTCCATGCCTTCACATGAGGCAAAAATCACACACAATCGCTTAAAGGCATTATTCAGTGAAGTGGAAATGGAAGATTGGGCCGAAGGAGGTTTGGAAATGGTAAGATGTTCATCAGTAAAACTCTCTGAGTATCCATGTTCAACGTACATCTATAAGGATAGACTATGCACTATGAAGAATTAACTTTTTTTCCATATTAATCTTGTTTTCTTTTTCCTTCACATGTACGCGGTGGAGACTCTTCGACCGATGTTGGGGTCGGAATGTGATGGTATACGGTGAATAAGAGAAATAGATGGTGGTTCAGTGTTTATTAGAGTACGGTATGCGAGAATGTGCGAATCGTGACCTGCGGTGGTCAAAGTCAGATCGTGAGTGCCAGTGACCTCACAGGGAGACACATGGCAGACATAGCCCGCCCCCTCAGCGTGACGTCAACTGGCATGGGTATTAGGGCTGATAAGGGGAATCATCGATCCATCGATGATACTCCGCCCGACAAGGATAAAATAGATACAAACGAATATGATAGAATGGCATATAATGTGCGAAATCTACTGGTCTCAATTGATGTCGTAGGTGCGTTGGTGAAGATGATTGAGATCGTTCGGCTTGTGGCGTGGGGTGGAATGCGTGCCATTTGCGGCTGGTCGTTGATGTCGTCGGTCTTCAGTGGCGATGTGGTCGTTTCGTGGCTGGTCCTCTGTGATGTTGCTGTCCTCTGTTCTGCGAGCAAAGCAAGTAGTTGTGGCCGAGACCACAACTACTGCACTTTACTGCGCAGACGTCGTCATGGACTGGCTTCAGGCATTGAAGGCACAGTCCTAGTTTCGTTGCTTGCGAAGTTTTCGAAACGGGATCGGGATAGCGTACGCACCTTCCGGTGAAGTGGCTATCCCGGTTCTCCGCAACCGGGCAGAAAATACAGCTCGATTTAGGCGTGGTCCTCTCCAGGATTACTGCTTGTTGGTCGAGAATTGTCTGCATTTTTAGATCGAGGGCTTGGAGTAGTTGCTGGAGAGCGAGTCGATCTTGCTTGGCTGCTTGCATCTCGGGGACGAGGTGGTGGAGGAGCGTGGAAACGTCGCATCTATCCAACTCATCGATAGCTGCTTGCATATCTGGCGAGAAGGACATGTTGGTAATGTGATGGTGTTGTCCGTCTACTTTTATACAGATTTTCAAGCCTATCTGGGATCCGCCCACGCCAAATAGCCTAAGTTGAACGTATGCTACTCTAAATCTTTGAAGTAGCTTTATTGACTCTTGATATAGCAGATTGCTACCTGGAGGTTATGTGGTGTGCGGAGTAGTTGATGGGGCCGGTGCTAAGTGCTCGATTGATAGTGTACATGACTAGTTATTATATGCATTACCCAGATATGCACATAAAATCAGTTTGTGTTATCAGCTGATCTCTTACATACTAAATGGGACCAGCAGAACAGTAATGGAGCCGTTAAAATTTTTAATATGCCTATGATGATGTAGATCATAATTTTGGCAGCGTACACTAAAGCTATTGGGCCTGCTAGGTAGGTCGCAAGCGTGAGAAACGCTACCGACGTGAGAGCCGCTAAACTGATTTTCCAGTGCTGTTTTATGATCTCTATGATCGGCGCGACGTCTGGCACGCTGATATCGGCGAACCATTGATGGTGCAAGGGTACAGCGTGGGAATCTTCATCGAACGACACTGGATCAGCTGTTATGTGATAATGAAGAGTACCTTGAAGAGTAATGGATGCTGGTCCGTGGTGACATTGTACATTACATTTTTCACTGATCATTGCTCGTTCAAGCGCTAGGTTAACAGCGGTAGAATCATTGTTTGAAGAGCATTGGATATTGAAATTCTGCGTTTCACATGAGACCGTCACTGTTCTCTCAAATGACGACTGACAAGATGCAATGACAATAGCGCCATGTAAACAGCTATAACATCCAGTAACATTGCTGAGACGGACTTCGCATTCCATTAGAAATATTTCTTCTGCTGATTCAGCTAATATTGAGGAGGCGATTGACAAGGTGAATTCACTTTCATCTGAAAGTGCTATCACGTCGTTACCTAATCGTGTTATTGTAGAAACTGGAGTTTCCAATGGTAGTTTCGCCGATGAACGGTTTCTGAGGGCATTGATCGAGTCATCCGGACACAGACATCGGTGAACGGAGTTGTCGCAATGACAGCGCATACTTGTACTGCATGATGAGAAGTTGTGTCTAGCTTGCATCTCACTGCTGCATTCCACTGGAATTTGAAATTTGTCTGGTAAGACAAATGACTCGCTTCCAGAGATGGCGAAACGCTTGTTTAGCAGTGGTAATGATAACTTCTGAATGGAAATGACCGTTACGTTGAAATTATTGATCTTTTCCGTAACATATGGCTGGATCAAGCGAGTGCTCCTAGATGTTTTTCCCAGCTTTGTGTATTCCATGCGTATATGCACATTGGGCTTCCATTCTAAACAGGATACCACTTCATATACCTGATCGGAGATTGGTCTATGGGCGACTCGATAAAACTGACATGCTGGTAGAGGAAGCAAGCATCCGCAGGGTATTCCTCCGCAAATGTCGATGCAGCCAGAATATCCTGGAAATTTGTAGGCCTTCCGCAGTTCCTTGACGGTTTCGTTTGCGTGCATAGTATGACACTTGTCATGAATGCACGATCCTGCTTGCGCACATCTTTCTGCATGGAAGATGCGAATTTTGGTATCTCTGGTGAAGGTGTGCAGGACTTTGGAACAAGTGAACTGTGTCGGTCTTTTAGTGAGCTTTACCATACCTATGGTTACATTTTCGTGCATAATTTCAATGCACACCTCTGATATTACCTTATTGAACAGGAACTCATTACTGTACTCGTAGTGACAGCTGTCTGGATCTGTACAGACGAGGTTCGCAGCGTGCCTTGTGTAGCCTTTTTGACAAGCATGTGCGTTGACGATTAATGCGCTAACTAGTAGGCAAATAGTAGTTGCATTCATCCCGGGAAGAGGAGCTGGTTTGAAAGAGGGATTTAGCACTTTACATGTTTGATGTTGTAGCGGAAGTGTTTCTTTGACGGTGTTTCGTCTTTTTCTGCCCAGTTTTGATATTGAACAGATGATGACGATACCTAGCATTGTAATGAAGTAGAGAATCATAGCTACGGTAACGATAGCGCCAACTGGCCAGCAATGGGGGTTTCCCAGCAGAGTTTTTGACAAAATTTTTTGGTGATCGCAGAATTGTGGTCTTTCACATGTAAGTATCGATTCATGAGTGCCTTCGCCTGTTACTTTGCTGAAACGCACTGAGGCGCTGGTATTGATCGGTGATATGGGCAACGCATATCCCATGCCGTGCGTGATATTATCGATCATTCTGCAATCGTTATCGATGCATAGCGTGTAAGGCGCGCCTTGCGATGGGATGTGGACCTTGCCCCCGTAACAGCTGATCGCCGATGATGAGTTTTGCGCCTTAATTGGCGATGCTAATGCCAATATGGCGATCAGGAAAAGTGAGTATGAGGGTTTGAGGATATGTGCAGATTGATTAAGCTTATTTCCACATTCTTTGATGGCATTCAAGGCCTTCATTTTGGATGCTCTTTCGGGCATTTTTCTTACATTTTTCTCTACCGTTTGCAAAGGTTGGATGAGCGCTTCTTCAACTTCGATAATGGGCTCCTCTGATACAGAGCGGATTTCCAGCGGAAAGATTTTATTAACTGGGCGCTGCACAATCTTCTTGTTTGGTAGAAGGATCATGGCGGATCTTATCAATCCGTCTGCGCTCTTCACATTGTCCACGATTCTACCGTACGACCAACATCCTCTGGGAAGTAGCTCCTGTTCAATCAGTACTATTTCACCGACTTGTGGGTCTGATCGCAGAATTGATCGTGGTTGTTTATGATGAAGTCTTTGCATTTCTCTCAAAGAAGTAAGATATTCTATGCTCCATTTTTCCCAAAATTTATTGGCAATGTTCTCAGACGACTGAATTGCTTCACTGGCTTGCTTTTGTGTCTGAATCAGCTCTGGATCATAGCTGAGATCATTTGAATCTTCCAGTATCTCACCTGTGGGTATGGAATACATCAGATTGCCTCTCAAGAAATCGATAGGTCTTAGCGGTAACTGTGCGATGTCACTAGCGTTTAACTTTGTTAGTGGCCTGGTATTGATTATTGCTTCAATACGCGCTACTGCGGTACACATATCCGCGAAATTGAGGCGTTTCCGCCCGATTGATTTATTGAAGGCTTTCTTAACTATGCCAACCAACCTTTCCCATGCGCCGCCCATCCAGGGAGAAGCTGGAGGGTTGAATATCCACCGTATTCTCTCTGACGCGCAATAGGACATTAGTGATGAACCATTTTGACCTTGTTTTTCAAACATTTTTTGGATGATCAGTTCTCCCAGTTTGAAGTTAGTGCCGCAATCGCTGCGAACGATTGCTGGAGTACCCCTGCGAGATATGAATCTCAGGAAACTGTTTAGAAACGCGCCTGCCGATAGGTTTTCTACAACTTCCAGGTGCACTGCCCGTGTTGTTAGGCATGTGTACAAGCAAACATACATTTTTTCACTGGTTTTTGCTGTGAAAGGTCCCATGAAGTCGCAACCAACATTTTGAAAGGGTTTAGATATGACCACTCTGTCTTTTGGTAGTGAGGGCATTATGGGGGCTCCATATGGTGGCCCTTGGTACTTTTTGCAAATTACGCATCTCTTTACCATCTTTTGGAATGCACGAGAGGGCCGTGGAAGCCAGAATCTTTGTCTGGCGATACACAGGGTGTGATCTTTACCACAGTGCCCATTTTTGGAATGGATTTTCTCTAGCAACAATCTAGTGAGCTCTGAAGTATCTGGGATGTAAATTGGCGATTTCGTGTCAAATGGTATCGCTGCGTTTTGGAGACGAGAATGATGACGTATTATGCCATTTTCATCGGTGATAATGTGTTTTTCGTGAAAACGCTTTTGTAGATTAGCGATATTCACTTGTTGCTGTTCGTGTACAATTATCAAGTTTTCGGCAAGATCCATGTCAATTGCTGTAATATCTGCTTCTTTATCGAACATATTTGT